CTGGAAAATGTAGGCATATAATTTTATAGTATAAGTATTATGCAACCCGACACCCAACAAATGTCAGATAAACATACATATAAGTGCACATAGATAAAAGGCACCGGGCTCTGACGATGCCTACACAGTATATTGAGTTCATTCCATTGTTCACAGCATAACCTTGAGTTGAATGGTGAATACTTGAATAAATCAACTTCAGGCCTCTGTCTGATTTCCTCATTTGTCCTTGGACGATCGATCTGCCCATTTAATGTATTAAATTAACGACATGTAGGTGTGTAATTCCAAAGAAGAATGAGAGCCTAAGTCAAAAATCGACATACAGCTGACGCAATCTATCCCTGATCTTTCCCCTCCCCCTCCCTCTCCCTCTCCCTTTTTCTTTCTTCCTCCCTCTCAAATTACTCAACTAGACATGTGATTTTTTTCAATATTAAGTTTTATGTATTGAAATTGAGTGCAAGTGTCCTACAGTATTTTTTTTTCATCAGTCGTATAATCTTGACGCAACATTTGTGCCAGTATTGATTTAATTAATGTTAGAATGGAACATTCGTCAAAAAAAGTTCGCATTAAATTTAATAGAGCATATATATATAAATACGAGAATAAATATATTAAACAAGAGCAAGGGGCAATCTAAAAAGTTGTTTTCAAGATTATTTTTTCGATAATTACAGTTACATAGCTTGATTATGAGCTTTTCATCCCATGATACTATATGACAAGTGGTGATCTAACTTTGTATTCGTTTCGAGCGTCATATAGGATTCACTTAATGTACATTAATAGAAATTTATATTTATTTCATATCACGAATCAAAAGGAAAAAAAAAACATATATATGGACAAAATTGTAAGGATGGGTAAATTCTTTATGTTTTCTGTAAATATTGAAACACCGTGCTTGAACTTGATTGAAAGTAATCCGTGCGATTTGCCATTAAAAGAAAGCATTGATTAATTATAGCTTCTACAATGGGCTTTAAATTGATTTAAGGCATCAGATAATCAAATCTCAAGTGTAAATACTGTCTGCTAGGGGAAAAAAACGAAGTGAAAAAATATATATCGACAGGCACATACATCTTACAACTTAACATGGCCTGGACTTATCGGTTGTGACAGTTAACAAAACATGATTTCCAATTAATTGTCTGTTGTGATAGATTTTCACCAGTTATACTTTCTGAGTATAACTTAACATGTTTATATGTATACGTTTTAGTTTTTGGAACACTTCAACTTGCATTGAAAATTTAGCATACGCATTGATATCAAGGTCAAAAGGTCCAGAGTCAGAAATTTATGCAATGCATAGAATGGCTCCAGATGATGTCTTTGAGCTTTTGCAACGAAATTTATAATAAGACTCTTAACGTCATTGAAGAGGAATTCCTATCTATTTTTAGATGAAAGGGTTAGTGGTCAAGGTCATAAACTTGTCAATTAAAAGGCGACATGGCATACTAAGTAAATTCCTAATTAACGTACTGGTAGTTATATTTTTAGTTTTTAAATATATATTCTTATTGTTAAAAGTAAGACTGAAAAAACGATTTGCAAAAGAAGAAAAAAGTGAAATTAAAATGCAACTAAAACGTTTATCTTGCAAGACATTTCTCTCCTGTAAGGAAAAAAAGCCGTTTGCTTTATCGTCCCCAATAAAAGCTATAGTTGCAGACTGAAGCATTTCGATTCTGACCTTCACAAACAAATAAATGAAACCGTTACTGGCATATGAAAGTCACATGCAAAACCAATGTGCATCTCCATAAAAATCCAATGAATGTTTCCAGCATCCATGGCACAACACGAGTTTTACATTCGGAATCCCTCAGACAGTTTCGTAATCTCGACCTTTTTTGTAATCAGTCATCTATATTAGCACCAAAGGGCGTCTTTTCCTACTTTATTATAGCAATGAAGAATCACAGTTGCTCAAAATAAGAGCGAGCAGTGATTAAGAACCTTTTTTCCCTCTCCCTCTATCGCTATAATTCAAGGGAAGCCATGTTTGATTTGCTTCCTTATGCGGCTTAATTAAGGTGGCGATTCGGTGAGACTAATCATGGGTAAATCTGCGGCGGACTCCATTCGAAGGAATAAGGCTTTAACTGCTGAGCGTTAAGCAAATAATGATCAATGAGGCAAAATGAAATATTTTAGACAATACAAAGATTTAGACAGATTTAGATGTTTTTGTCGACATTATGAAGAGAAATCAACTTGCAAGAAGCATTAAGTTCTTTACAGCTCAAAGCTATAGGCACCAAGTGTTTTCTTTCCAGATTTCGTTCACTTGTAGTTATTTATCTGAATATATTTGAATGAAGTAAATATACTTTAATGAAGTAATTGTCAAAAGGAGAAATAAGAATTTTTATTAAAGATACAGGAAGTCTCGATGTTTAAATTATTTATCACATCGGTACTTACCTCGTACACAAGACACCCCTACTTATTTTTAACACAAACGGGAGGGGGGCGGTGCCTGAGGTCTGGCATCAGTTAGTACAATTCTCTGTCATCCTTGGACTTTCAGTGAGGCGTGGCATTCTTGGAGCTACATAGTTAGCGTCTCTCAATCTCATTGGTTAAAAAATTAATAACATCAGCAAATTTTAATTGTTGTTGACAAAGATGAGATAACTAGCCCCACCTCGTTGCCGTAGGAGACTCTGAAATTAATGAGATAATTGCTACCCTCTTGACATTCGCCCGAATTTCTATCTCATGTATATTTCAACATCGAATGAAATGCTGTGCAAATTTCAGACGCCAATGATGTAACGTCGAGAAGGCCGCGCCTTACTGAAAGTCCAAGGATAACAGAGATTTGTTCTCTTTAATTCTTGACAGTTTAACTGAATTTAACAATTTATATGAGTAAAACGCCATTGCTTATTTTCGAGTGCAATTTTTCATACATGCAATAATTTGCAGCTACAATGTATTCATAGGATCAGTCTTTTAGAGATAGACCAATATTCAAATAGTACTGTATTACGAGAGCAATAAAATACCGTTGTGTATAATAAACCAACATGAGGTTCATTATTGTTGTCGCCATAAGATGCGTGAATTGTTCTCATTGTGTCTTATCGTTTGCTCAGTGAATAAAATAGCATCAAGTCACACACCACCAGTGCAGAAAAGTCAGATATATAATTATATCATAAGCTTTGAACTTGTGATCTTTGTGCAAAAAGAAATTATGATCGTTTCCTTTTTTAGCTCAATCATTATCATCTACATTTTTATCATTTTTATCATCATTTCTCAAAAGCACTAAAGTTGATTGCCATAAAATCACTAAGTTCATGTTTACTAAAAACCATTTTCTTTCTCACGCGAGAACGTCTTATATTTTAATTTATTTATTCATTATGTATTAAAAACATGCAGCGTTTTTTAAGTTAGTAAATTTAAGATTTTAAGAACAAATTTAAACATGTTAAAGAAACACTACGTATTAACTATTAAGTTTATATACTGCAAAAAGGGGTGTTTTGAGGTTGAAAGAAAACCCATCCGAGTATCCAATTACTCGATCGGAAAAGCAAGTGAGTACCCGATTTCGCAAGACTATATGATTTATGAACTGATGTTTTTTGTCGTGGTTTGTCAATGTAGAAAGCCTTTTTTTAATGGAATTTTAATATACGAGGGGTGTTAGAAAAGTTCGCGGACAAGTTCTATTGTGAGCGCGCTATTTCCTCGAAACCGGTCAAACTTTCCAGATATAATCTTGAACTTTTTTCCAATAAATATACAAGAATTTGGTGCTCTCCGGTGATTAATGAAAAATATACGGCATTTTTATTTCGATAAATCTTGCTTCACGGAGCATGCTACATTTTGGCACGTTTACATCACAAAGACTATTTATTAAAATAAAAAAATTGCACAATTGTATCCAAGAGATTTATGATATTTTACCTGCCGCTAAAGTATGCAGGAAACGTCATTGGGAGAAATTTTGAACTAAATTGGAGGGTATATGGCTGTTGTATAGCCGTTTATAAATGATCAACGCGTAAAAACACAGCTAAGAATCGGAACGTCATTGATTTATGAACTGATGTTTAAAAATTATGTGTGCAGACAGGAAAATGTCTAAAATGAGATTAAAATGTTCAATGTATCCTACACATACAAAGAAAAGTTCTTTTTTTTAAGAATGGAATTTTTGAATATACTAAGACCCACATATCGCAGGACGTTGCGTTGCGCCTTTATGGTTTTGCAATATTTGATCAATTGACTGCTATAACATCTCAAAAATAAGTTGAAAAATTTGTCTTATAGATATTCAATTTTAAAGTAGAAAATAGATAAGAAAAATATGAAAAAATGAAAGATTTATAGAACTGCGGCAAAGCTTAAAGGGTTGAAATCTGGTTGTCACGTCGCCTCACGTCAAAAATCCCATAACCCTATAGTAAAAATAGTTGTAAAATTTTAAGATTTTATTATATGGACCTGATTTTTTACATACCAATAAACAAAATGTGTAAATTCATTCAGACATAGGTCATACTTTACAGTACACAATAGATTTTCTGTAATTAAATGTGTCCGCGAACTTTTCTAACAACCCTCGTACTACTAGATGATTAATATTTCAATGACCTATACCAAAAATAAGATTTTTTTGTTCAAATAGATCCATGCAGCTGGTGTCTTGCTAAAAAAATCTCATTAATCAGTCATTTATTTAGATAACCATAGTCACATGGCACCACATTTTTATTTCTCAATTAATTATTTGACTATCAATCTATCAATTACTGTAAACTAATAACTTAATTATTTGCTATATATCTTTTTTGGAATAAATTTACGAAAATTATTTTTTTGCGACTTAAAAGTATAAGAAAAATGCATGGAATTGATTCACGAGAAGAAATTTTTGCAAGTGAAGAGCAAATTTACGGATACTTCTCTCCTGCGAATACAAGTTGGACTAAAGCATTTTATTTTGAAATTTTTAGGAAAGTTGGATGGGGTGAAGACGTATATGTCCTTACGACGGGTACCTATCCGGCTGCAAGACCGGGTCATCAAGTGGTTCGACTACCTGTGGTACTGCAACAAATCAACCGACGAGGAAAAAACTCTGGCCCTTCTACCAGACAAACTTAAGGCGGAAATTGCCATACACGTGCACCTAGACACTCTAAAACGGGTGGAAATCTTCCAAAACACGGACGCCGGTTTTTTGTGTGAACTGGTGCTGCGCCTTAAACCCGTCCTCTTCTCGCCTGGGGATTATATTTGTAGGAAAGGTAATGACTTCAATTGTTGTCGTAATTAAAAATCCAAGAGCTATGTCAATCGGAGGAGAATATGAATACTTCCATTCATTTCCCTCCAATTTTTCTGTAACATAGCTACAGGAACAACATTTAAGTATACTAAAAGACAGAGACAAAACGATGTATCGGAAAACCTGTAAGAATATTCAGTTTCCTAAGGTGACTGTCACGACCCGCGAGCCTCTTACTATTCAGTACAGAAAATAGTCAATAAAATTGATAAGAACGTTATCTGTACTTAAAGATGTTTCTGAACCTTCTTTACCATAACTAGAGCGCTTTGTAAGGTACTGCTATTGAATTTACAACTGGATTTTTGAATTGCTAATTCAATGAAGTCCTTTTCTGCAGGCAAGATTAACCTCGTTTTGACTTTGAACGCTGCCGTTGCACATGTATTGACATGCAATTAGGTTCCTTGTTAAGTCAGAGAGTGCACAGTAATGAAGACAAAATGCTTGTAAAAGGAAATGCGCTTATATACAACTGACATGCTTACAAGTATTTTACAGACATTATCATATATCATATTGGTTAAAGTACCGTCTGCAGGTTCACTTTATGTAAATCCATGAAATCTCACAAGGTCCCTTGAAATATCATTTGGAATTAGAAAAGTAGAATTCTATTAAGTCTTGGGTGACGAAAAAAATGAAAATTCTTTAATGATACATTTCAGCTGTTTTGGTATACAATTTAAAATGTTCTAAAAATCTGAGAAAATGTAAGATGTTAAGGGAAAGACCTTTATGTAGCTTTTACATTTTGAAGCTTATATAAAATTTACGTACAAGTCAAAATACTTTCCCATAAGATTCTCTGTAAATTCGAAAACTATATATGTCCATTTTCTCATGAACTCAACTAGCACAATTATCTTTATGTTGAGGTCGTCAAAATAATGTTAACGGTTTTGCTTCGAAAATGATAATTGAAGGATATAAATTTGTTACAAGATATTGTAAAGTTAATATTAATAACATATTAATTACTTGAACTACACAGTTTATACAATGTTTCACATCTGCACAGTGTTTCATGAAATATACCGGTGTAAAGTGTCGTAGTTCATTCAAAATTGAAATTTCTTGAAAAATATTCATGTATACATTCTAATTTGCTTAAATTATAGATTATTATCATAATGGTTCAATGCCTTTGGCCAGGGTTAGCATCAACAGTTAGTGACGTTGACAATTGTATATTTCACATCCTGGATGGTTGCAATTGTGCGGATGTTCCTTGTGTTATATGTTCCTTTAAATGTAGATTGCAGTCTTACCGTTCGACCGCCGACAAAAGAACTAGGAACGATAATTAGTAGACGTTCCCTAAGGACTTCCCTTTATGGGCGCCATTTGTAGAAAAGTGATTAGACTTTAAAACCATCATAAAAAAAAAGAAAATTAACCAAAAAAAAAAAAAAAGATTTTGTAATGATTTGTCTTTAAGGCAAGGCTGTATTGAAATTACAAACAACACATGGTTTTGTTGAGTTAAAAATTTAGAGAATTATACAGAAGGGAAAATAATTAATGATAAAGAATTCTTTGGCCACAGAAACCCCATAATCGGAAAAGGCGGCAATGAAAGATTTCAAAGTCGAAAGGGTTAATTGCCATACATATTTATGAGAGCGATAGAGAGAGACAAAAACGTGGCCTTCTACTGCGAACCAGTGCCTCTGGTCAATGCAGAGAATCTTATTGATTGCTTTGTATCTAATGAAACAGTAAAAAAGAACAAAAGACAAAGTCACAAATGTCTCGCTTTATGGCCGCTGTTTCAATTTGTCGATGTTTAAAGCAATGGCGTGACTCGTAGTGGCAAATATTTCCTTTCTCCATTTGCATTACAATATCACCCCTAATTGGTTTCTTCGATGGACAAAAGAAAAATGTCAGTTTTGTACGGGGATAATCTATTCGCTATATTTGAAAATATATCTAGAAAAGGTTGAGCGGCGAACGTACTTGCCCCGCGGTGGAATCTCGTTTTCAGATTGGTGTTAGCGGAATTAAATTAGGACGAAGAGATCGATGATGTTTTCTTTATACCAGGGTCAGCGATTCTCTCACATTTTTTTTTTCTAGGCGGGTGAAAGATTTAGATGAAGAATTTTCAAGGATTGAAATGAAAATGATTTTTTTTCGAAAGTGCCAATAACTTCAAATAAATATTCAGTCATTATCATTGATTTAAGTATGTTTAATTAGATTTCAACTTTTCATTCAACATTTTCAAAATAATGCCTAGACGTATAAACTGATGAAAAGTTGAATAGGTTTAAAAGGGTGACATGTGAAAAAAAGTAGCCTAAGGATTTGGAACATCGTAGAAAGTTTACTTAATTTTGATCTAGAATTATGATTTGGCTAAAAGAAGCTTTAAATTTTACACATGCACACATGTATGAATAATAAAATCTCCGAAAAATAAAATGAACAAATATTACATCCATGCTACACTAGGAAACTATCATATATACTGTGGTCGACCCTTTCCCAAAAAAAAATCTTACGACTAGTACAAAAAATGTCCCATTCCTCAACAAATATCTAAACTACAGTAGAACGAAAGACAAATTAATAATTTTAGAACATTAGTTTATATTGTTAATAAGTAGTGTTCAGGGGGGGGGGAAGAGATACAAATCATACTTCTTAAAACAAAAAATTACATGGTTGCCCATTCTTTGTCTTGGTCGTGTCATGTTGTAAATTTTGAATTTACCGGGTGGCAGTAAATACAAAATTTACAACATGACAACTGTTGTCATGTTGTAAATTTTGTATTTACTGCCACCCGGTAAATTCAAAATTTACAACATGACAGTCGTATGATGTTTTGCGAAGTAGGACCAGATGAGCACGGTAGCCCATTTTCTGTTGCCCATACTTAATGCTGCACAAGAAAAAAATATCCAATTTACCTTAATAATATTGTACGTGTCTCTATGAAAAGAGTTTCTTATTTACAGATAAACTTTTTCTTTCATTAGTTGACGGTAGTTCGAGGGACTATGTATAAACCATTAAAACCCATTGTTCAATTATTGATAAGACACTCCCCCAACAATTAAAGTCTGCTTTGGGCTATTTCAAAACATGAACATCAATATTTAATAAATCATCGAGATTTTTGGTTGAACTTAATTAATTTTAAGAGCGTGTATTCTGTTGTACGTTGTAATTACGACAATATACGTGGATTGAATCTCGAGATAAATGGAACATCAAAGATTATAAGTAGCCCTGAAAATTAATATTGAATGAAACCAACCTTCTACAATGCTTGCTTATAATTGATTTCATAAATCTCTTGTATTTCATAAAAATGATGAAGAAAAATACAGGTTTGGTTATATACTAGTATTCCATTGAGTCCAATATAATCTTATTGGCTTATTTTGATTTTCTTGAACTAGCTACGATTCCACATGCATAAAAGTGATGACCTAGGAGTTTCTATCATAATATTTTTCTGGATCAAAATATGATTAATCTTTTTACAATTTTCTAAAATGTCCACAATAAGTTGGAAATTCGTTAATTGAAAGTTGAAATCATTCCCTTGCAAGATAAACCTGCATGTATAATCATTCAATTCAAGAAGGTTTTTCCACCACGTTTTGATTCGCTAAATTGTCCTCTGCAGTTACAGTCTCGCTACATATATTCGTATCTTTTCGGCAAACCCGAAAAAGCTCAGTAGCTGGCATCTTCGCAGCTAGATCCGAAATCTACTCTTTCGGATCGGAAACCATTAGCGAAGATGAGTAACTGGACGACTATGATTTTCAACCATTATTCTCAACCTTGCTCCTCCCAAAATGCAAAATTTAATCAAACTGTGTTCCTTTCTGTACTTTTATTGAAATCTGCAAGAACTACTAACTTGGAGTAGTTATCATTTTTTACATTTTGTAAATTTAATTTGCAGGTGAGGTCGGCAAGGAAATGTACATTGTCAACAGAGGCAGGTTGCACGTGGTCGCCGACAACGGGAAAACGGTGCTTGCTACTCTTAAACCCGGAAGTTATTTTGGGGAAATCAGCATTCTTAACATGGGGACTTCCGGTAACCGACGGACAGCGTCAGTTCGTTCTGTAGGATATTCGGACCTATTCCGACTCTCTAAACAGGATCTCTGGGATGTTTTGAAAGAATATCCTGCAGCCAGGGTGAAACTTGAAGCTATAGCTGTTAAAAGGCTAGAGAAAACTAAAAAGATCCCTATTGAAAAAGGTGTGTTTAGCTCCCTTTCAAAAATATTTCGATCAAAATGAAAAAATGTATATGAAAATAGCCTATATATCATAAGTAGCGATGAGTATTCCATAAGCACCGATTATCATATATCATTTTAGCACTACGCTTTAAATTGTCTTGCATGTATATATGTATAAAAGTCAAATTACCGAGTTACTAACTAAAGCTATAATGCTAAATGACAAGATAATTTCCATAGAATGTTTGTGTTTATAGGGGAAAATAATTAATCTTCGCACATTCTTCTGCAGTCAAACATAAAACAAGCATAAACAGCCTATTGACTCTGTGTTTTATTCTATCATTAACTTGGCTTCCAATACTTTGTAGCGCTGGCAAGAAGCAAGAGCACACCGGGGCTTGTAGAATCATCCGGGAAAATTCCCTTAGAAGCCATGATGATAACTCGTCACCATACTCTTCCGGCTGGTCTTCCAAAACAGTCACCCTCAAGCGGTGACGAAGGGACTCAAGATGAAAATTCTTCAGAAACGGGTGAAAATGCTCACGCTGAAATTACTGCTGAACAAAACTCAATACAGATTGAAAATTGTGACATCACCAACGTGGGGACGATGACGTCATATACGGGAGGCACCACCCCTACCCGGTCCATTGGACACCCAGGCTATAGTCCCCCGATCTCACCCAGAAGTCTGTGCCAAACTCCAAACATACCGACCATCAGTGCGGCAACGCCTATTCTTAGTAACGCCGGCGGAAGTCCCGCTCAGTTATCGCCCCTGAGCTTTACCTACACTCATACATATCCGTTTCAAAACCATCCTCAACAAATGAATTTTTTGTCTCCATATTGTGTGTCAAATACAATGAATCCTTTGTCTTCGCCCAGTCTTGCCACAAGTCGCTCGGATAACCTTTCATCGTCTCACATCAACCTGTCCCCACAAAATCACCCCCAGCCTGCTCTAGTTCCAGTATCCCCTGGGTATAACATATCGAACTATGGCTCCGTGAGCCCACAAAGTTTTTCATACGATACACCCAATGACGTTTTACTCAAAGAAATCAACACGCTCCGAGAACGTTTGGTTTCCTTGGAAACAGAAAACGCCTCCATGACGGCCAAATTGCACAGACAGCAATGGGACGTCGAACACAGACTCTCGGAACTCGAACTTCACATGTGTCAGAGCTCGAGTCAGGCGAGTACGTCGAGTCATGACGAGCGATTCGAACCAGTCAACAGGGAATCAATCATTTAATACGAAACTAACGCTATAATGCCAAATGCTTGCATTCGACGATCGACCTTAACACTTTAAGGAAAGTGCGTCAGGATCTGCAGACCATTGTCCATTTTCAATATTTTTTAATGATGGAGAAGCGCAGTGGGGTGCCCGGATCCAATGATACAAGAAATATTCCACATAATGGCTTTCCTAAGTGAGGCTTCTTGAATTCCGTATGACAGTTCAGAAAATGTGTTCGATTATTTTTTAAGAGTTGTAGACATCACAGTCTATTGTAAATCATCATGTTTATATTTTAACATTCAGGGAGTTTGATCATCAACATTTATTATTTTTCTTATGTTGAAACAATCGGCACACCTCGGCCGATTCGTGCCTCATCGGCAATGAGGGCGACGAAATGACATCCGAGGTTTGCCAAATGATGTGGTAAAAAAACTCGTAGATGTTCAGATATTTGTCGGCTGTTAAAGCAAACCAACAAACACGGATAACATTGTCATCAATATTAACTTGCCTGTCCATCTGTTACATCTTGTGTTTTATTATCCTATAAAAAAGAAATTCGATGTCTGCAAGATTATTATATTTTATCTGTAAGAATATTTTATTTTGTACTGTTCTATTGTAGGATTTGTATATGAAAACGAAACCTCTTCAGAAGAAAAACCACACTGCAGTTTTTATTATATTTAATGTTTATATCAAGGACACAAACACGTGCTCCCTGGAAACATCTGGTTTTATGTAAGACACGTGCTTATTTTTTTGTTTTTGTTTTTAATGTTTCCAAACGTAGTGTTACCAAAATGCTACGCATTTTATTGACTGTCTTGGATATTTTTAAGGCTTTTTTTTTCTATTTCTTAGGTTGACTCTGATCGATGAGTTAGCTCTGTTTAAGTTGAGAGGAAGCGTTGATTACAACCATATCCCAAAGTTCAATTGTTTATACAGTGAACGTGCATTTACATTCCTTCCATTGTATCTTAATATGCATTCCATCTCTATAGCTTTTATTATTACCTCTTTGAAAATCATTTCTTTTGTTTGAACTTTATGGAAGGTTTGGGACCAAAAAAAGTATTGTTCAGTGATTGTTAAGAAATGGCACTTATATGTTTATTTTATTTATACTATCAGCGGCAGGTTTTTAAGCATAATTTTTTTTATAGTTGATATGCATATCGTTCAGGCATATGATGGGGGGGGCACTTATTCACAAATATTAGTTTTAACTGTTATTTTAATGAGAATGGCCAGTTGACCCACAAGCACACACTTTTTTGTTAAAGTATAGACAACTCGACCCATGATGTAAAGTATGTATAAGATTTCTTTATCGCTTTCAAAAAAGAGAAGATAAATATAATGATATCTGAGACAAAACCTTTTTTATCTTCAATTGTTATTTTAGGCTTTTAATTAAACAAATGGTGTACATGTATATTTTGAAAAAAGCAAAAATGCACTTTTGGTTTTTTTCCCACAAACACGTAACGGCTATAATTTTTTACAAGTTACTCTTCATTATACTCCGGCATAATTCCATAAATATTCACGGTAGCTCATTGTACATAATCTAGTTCATTAAATTTCATTAAATACTATGAATTAAGTTCGCATAAAAAGCAATAATGAAACTTATGAGTTAGTTATTTGTCTTTTTTTTTAAAAATTACTTTCAATAATATCAATTCATAAAATGTGAATGAAGTGGGTTACGATCATGTATATACCCTCTCAGTTTCAAAAGAAAATTCATATATAGTTTTTTTTAAATTTTTTTTTATTAATGAGTATCACTGTTAAAGTTCACTGATACTCTGATAAGAAAGATAACTCTTAATGACATAGCTATATCTTTTAATACTTTTGTCAAGTTGAACTGTCTTTATTGTCTAATTTCTCCCCGCAACCTTGCTACATGTATATTGTTTTACACTGTATATTACTTATAATTTATAAAATATATTAAGAAAATTGCTAAGGCAAAATTTTAGATGAGTGAGCAGAGTGTTTATGAACCTTACGTCATGAAAAAAAATCGTGTTCTCTAATATTGAAATAATTACTGTTCAGTCAATATTCTGTTACTTTGTAAAAATGTTTAATATGATAGTACATGTTGAGATCTAATTGAAAATATGTTGGGTGGTTCTGTTGAAATTCTAAGATCCACCACCTTTGTTGGTTGCATGCTCTGCTGAAATTCTGAGATCCACCACTTATCCTGGGTGGAGGTTCTGCTGAAATCATGCCATCGATTGCCATCGTATTTTTATAATATTAAATCATGTATTATTATCTTGTGTATCACATTTGAATTTGTTAATAAAAATATATATCTTACAATATTGATGTTTTTACTGAAATTATGTCGATATAAAAAGGAGAAGGGGAGAGGGCACATTCGAACTTTTCTATCGTCAACTTCCTTTACTTATGCAGCAATATACCTTCATCACCTGCATACGGAGTTTATATATCTCAGTTGATTCGATACGCAATAACATGCTCTGCGTACATGTATGAACAATTTCTAAAACGAGGTAAATTATTGACAAACAAGTTAATGAAACAAGATATCAGCACTCTCATTTAAAGTCATCATTTCGTAAGTTCTATTGTCGATACAATGACCTTGTCAGCAAATACAATTTATCATTGAGTCAAATGCTGACTGACTATTTTCATACTAATTGTTAGTCCATTATTTATACACCGAATTGACGACGGATTTTCCCGTTATTTTCCGATCACGAGAAGGAGCACATGGCGGGTGTGACCTGTCAGCAGGGGATGCTCACTCCTCCATGGCACCTGATCCCACCTCCGATGTTTTGGAGGTCCGTGTTTGCTCTGCTCCTATTTTGTATTGTTTGATGGAGTTTTGATCTTGAATAATGTTCGTTATCTCTCTGTGTTTCATGTCATTCGTCCTTTAAGTGTTGTTTATTGGGCTTCCGTTCAAGTAGTTTCCTTTAATATCTGTTTAACAACAGAAGTATAGCCATCGTCCGTCACAGAATCATAAGTAAAATCATCCATTAAAAAATTCCAAGGATTTGATTTGTTTAAGTCAGCATTTTGTAAATTCTTTGGTCGTGGTCGTTACAATTACCATATTAGCAAATATAACCTACCATTGCTTCGTATTTTTTCCTGACTTGTTCCATATCAATCACAGGAGTCTGAAGTTAAAAAAAATCCGGAAAAAAAAATTCCTCTTTTTTTTCCTTTTCTTAGTTGAGGGTGGGAAATTTTTTTTTTGACGATAAAAACTTCAGACTCCTGTGATATCAATTGTTAGACCTTTTTTTCTGGATTTGTCTGCAAAATGTTCCGTCTACTTTGTCAACACATAAGGCTAATGGCGGATGTGACAGGTCAACAGGGGATGCTTACTCTTCCAAGGCACCTGATCCCACCTCTAGAATTTGCAGAGGTCCACATTTTAATTCCCTCCATCACCGTCCATCAACAAAACTTTAGGGAAAAAATGTCATCCTCCATCAAACAATCTTAAGTTTGTTTTATGTACGTTAATTGTCACGGATTATCCGACGGGTTTATGTGATGTACGTTAACGTTATTGTTACGTCACAATACTGTACGTTATGTTTCTATAGTTAATAGAGAGGTTTAGTTACACGTTTTGTGACGAACTTGTACGGGTGACGTCATCAATTGTTGTGTTCTTCGACATCATGACGTCAACTCCGAGGTGTAGCTACAAGTTTAGAACGTGTAATACACTGTCTACACGTACGACGTAAACGGGTAAAAGTTACGGATTAAATTCTTTATTTTTTTATGCAGTTGATTGATTTTTGTGCAATAAAACAAGAACACTAGTCTATCTAAAAAAATAATGAATGATGATTCGATGATTCCATCAAAGTATTAGTATTTTTATCAATGAAAAGTTAAACTCAAACTGGTACCAAACAGCATGTTTATTTTGTACGCAGGATTCATTTGAAGAAGACCCCCGCCCGCCAATGCACCAAATAAAAATTTAAGGTTTCTTGGTAATTTTTCCATTTCTGTTATTTTCCGTTATTTTTATTGAAACCTACGGCGGGGAATCTACGTCATCGTAAGGGATTAGGACACACAAAAATGGAGGACAAATGCTCCGCTTCGATGTAAGAAATTGATATTTTTGCACTTATAAAGAATGGATATTAAATCCGTATCCTGCCTAAAGTATGTCAAAGAACGTCAACTACAATATATATTGTACGTTTGTTCGTGATGGAATCTTATTGCTCCAAACACTGACACAGTTTGAAAACAGGTGAGAAAAACCCGGGATGTGGGGCACACATTTTTAAAATTCGACCTATTATTCGCATGTCCAGATGTACTAGACATTTTATTCTTCCGCGTTTACACTAGAACTAATATTTTAAAAAGTCCAGATTTGTTTAATAGTTTATTATGCTTGAATTATCCAAGAAAAAAGTATAAATCATTTTGTTTTCAGAAATGATGTAGGGCACACCAACACTAAAACGGATATGGGACACACAATAAGCTACTTTCAAATTGAAACATCGAGCATTCATATCTTAATGTTTCCATTTAAATGACTGCAGTTAGATAGTATATAAACAATAACCTGTAAAATTCATCTTTATAATACTCATCCATATACTTGATTCCCTTGGTTTGCTTGTATCCAAACAAAAAATATAAGTTGAAAATGCTGGTCTATTCCTCAACAAAAGCTTCCAACAAGAATTTTAAATTTTGACTTTTATTAAATTTCATGTAGAAATTTACCGGTGTTCACTTGTGCATATTTATATTATAGAAAGAGGGGGGCCGAAGTCCGGAGATTGTGTTTATTTTATGATATTTCTATTTTAAGTTACACGACATCCACCCCCACCCCACCCCACCCCCCCAAAAAAAAACAAAACAAAAAAACAAAATAAAAATACACACACACACTCACGAAATAAGTTCTTTTTAGGTTGGTTGTTTACTCTATTGCTTGTCAAAATAGTTTGGAGTCAGAAAATTCTTTGGAGTTTGTGTGGACCCCCCCCCTTTCCATCCCGAAAAAGTTCCTAAATCTGCATATTGGTATTAATAATAAGATCTTGGGCACTAGCATGTCTTTTGATATGGGAAAGAGATCAAAAACTTTTCTTATGCTCAAATATTTGCAACAACTGACCCTCCAGTGAATATAAGAATTTTTTTTCCCTACACATGCTACAATGGTCTATAAATACATCGGGAAATTCCAAATTGAAACACATAGTTTCGGAAAGCAATTTTATTTGCTCCTAACTTGCACTCAGGTGAACATAAAATTAGTAATCGAATATATGAAAGTGGTTGCTAGTGATGGGGAGGGCCAAAACAAAAATGGAAGTTAAAAATTGTCTTTTCGTTGTTGCCAATCAAAGGCTTTTAGCTGTCATTTTTCTCTGATAATGCCCCCCCCTCCAAAATTTATCCTATAAAAGAGCTTGACATTATTTCTTTTTTTTTTGGTACAGCTACTAAAGTACTTTTTACAAAAAATCCCAATTTATACTGCTATAGTATTATTTATTTATCCCTGCTCCTATCATTGCTTTTGGCCAATATTCCAGCAAATGTAAAGAAGATGGAATGAACTGCTTTATGGGTACGTAATATTTAATCACTGATTCATACATGTATAATAAAACAATAATTGTTGTTTTTTTTTCAATTTAGCCACCTTCGAAGTACAATATTCAACTTTGTCTTTTTTTTCTCAAATATGGAGTCGAAAATAAACTATTAGAATTTTGACACAAGTTTAACCCTTTATCCCGTTGATACAGCTCATGTGATATCGTTTTCATATCACACAGTTGTGACGTCGCAATGGATTTTGCGTTAGAGTGATGAAGTAAAATGAAATGGAGTCCTATATAAAAACAATGTCAAACATTGTTCTTGGTGTAAAAAACATGGGATAAAAAGAATCTCACATGATTTATAGTTGGATATGATTTTTATCCAACTCGTTGTGTGTTTTTATCCCCTCGCCAAGGCTCGGGGATAAAATCCACACAACTCGTTGGATAAAAATCATATCCAACTACAAATCACGTGAGATCCTATAATATAATACATGATGACTTCTTTTTAAATGAACAAGTACTATATTTTGATAAGTCAGTATTTTTGAAAGCAGTTAAATGACCCAAAATTGTCTCAATGGATGCAAACCAAGATGGTTTATTTTCTAAAAAGAGGCTTTTTCAGACGGAGTATGCTTCTTTGAGTAGGACAAAAGATGGATGTAATGTTTTTAGTCGAAACCAGTAACTTAGCATAGCTTTAATAACTGAATGATACAGTGGAAGAGTCATTATTCATATACTACCAAACAGCAGTCATTTAAATGGAAACATTAAGATATGAATGCTCGATGTTTCAATTTGAAAGTAACTTGTTGTGTGTCCCATATCCGTTTTAGTGTTGGTGTGCCCTACATCATTTCTGAAAACAAAATGATTTATACTTTTTTCTTGGATAATTAAAGCATAATAAACTATTAAACAAATCTGGACTTTTTAAAATATTAGTTCTAGTGTAAATGCGGAAGAATAAATTGTCTAATACATCTGGACATGCGAATAATAGGTCGAATTTTAAAAATGTGTGCCCCACATCCCGGGTTTTTCTCACCTGTTTTCAAACTGTGTTGAAGTGTTTGGAGCAATAAGATTCTATCACGAACAAACGTACAATATATATTGTAGTTGACGTTCTTTGGCATACTTTAGGCAGGATACGGATTTAATATCCATTCTTTATAAGTGCAAAAATATCAATTTCTTACATCGAAGCGGAGCATTTGTCCTCCATTTTTGTGTGTCCTAATCCCTTACGATGACGTAGATTCCCCGCCGTGTATTTTAACACCTCTATATTCTTTATTTATTTTTTTTATAATAAAATATTCTAGAACTATTATATAACATCCACAGGCACTAGTGACATAACAAAAAATACAACCCTCGCCTAAAAAGTTATAGGTAGTAGGACTATGTGTAACGTCAAGTGCTTGTTGAAATTGTATTTCATTAACTATTTTTTTTTGTACTATCACTTGTAAAGATCTAGAGCAGACGCGTATTTAAAAAAAGGGGGTCGGTGTCTGATTTTGGTTTTAACAATGTATTAATGATTTAATGTATTAAATGTTATTCCATGCCTCCTTTCTAGACGTTATATGATTGAGCCTTCACAATTTATCGTTTTCAAAAGGTTTTCTTTTGGACCCCCCCCCCCCCAACCCCTCATCCTCCACAAAGTGCAAAATGTGATCGTTTTTTTTTATATTGTCAAATAAATAA